CATTAATTCGGTAGGTACTGTTGAGTATTTGATGCCCTCTACAACGTGATAGACGACATCTTGGTCGTAGTCCTTGAAGCTTATTCTGCCGGAGAAGTAATTGTGTCGTCTGAGGCTTCTGGCCCAGGCGGTTTTGCCTGTTCTTGAGGGTCCTTCAAGGTAGAGGGAGATTGGGCGGATGGGCCTCTGCTTTGGTTCCTGTTATCAGAGGAGGAGGAGAGTTCTTCATCAGTATATAAATTGTTTATATGATTTTTGTGTATCCCTAATCTAAGGAAATCGTCTTCCCTCCAAACGGAGAGACAGAAATTTTGACATAACTCGTATTGAACGCAATTTCGACTTACAAACAAAATATTATTTTCTGCCCATTTTTTTACTTCTTCGTTTAAGAAAGGAAATGAATTAAAAGGGCTAGTATATGGGGGCCTCTCTCTTTTGTAATGATCCCTGGAAAATGTTTTTAATTGGGGGTATTTTGTGACGTAATCGGTGGGACATTTTTCTTTACAGAGAGCAAAGAATTGTTCCTCCGTTTCTGCTTCGTCAAGTATTCCCTTCCAGAGTTCGTCTCTGTTTTTCGAAGGACTTCTCCCCTTAGATGAAAATTCTCCCCATTCGACGAACTCGCCCCCTTTCTGTATATACTGTCGACTTGCTATTGGCGAGTGGATTTTTTCTATATTTGGATGGTAGATCCTCTCATTGGTTCCAGTGAGATCGAAAAATCTCGGGTTGGAGGTTTGGATCTTCTTCGTGCATTGAACTATGGCATGAAGGTGAGGGTTTCCATCTTCATGGAGCTCCCTTGCGACGAGTATGTAGTATGGCTGATAGGCTAGTTGGAGGAGAGACTGGAGGAGTTCTAAAAGTTGTTCTTTTGGGCATGGGCATTGTGGGTAGGTGAGGAAGACATTCTTGGCGTAAAAACGGAAAGAGGCTTGGACTGTAAGTTAAGAAATTCATTTTACCTGCTCGTAGTTTGGGGCTGGAGCATTTTATCCCCTATGATTCAAATTTAGCCAAAAAGTCTCTATATGATTTTGCACTAAAATGCCACTGTTAGTTTTTTCATTCAAACAAATGGAAGAAGTAGTACACAACATTTTTTAGGATGAGTTTTGTTTTTTGAAAAAAAAAAACAAATTGAAATTAATACAACGAAAAGATAATTTTACTCTCCGTTCTCCAAAACTAAAATTAAATTAATATGCTAATTAGAATAAAATACAATTAAGGATTCAAAACATAAACATAATATGGATTTAAAATATAGTTAAATAAAAATAAAAATTAAATAGTAATTAAGAATTGATCTACAATATAATTAAATTAAATTAAATTAGATTAACATGTTATAGATTACAATAAATAATTAAGAATTTAAAATTAATTGTGAACTAAAATATAATTAAATTAAAATTAGATTAAAAAGTTAAGAATTACAATAAATAATTAAATATTTCGAATTAATTGTGATCTAAAATATAATTAAATTAAATTTAGAATAAAAAGATAAAGAATTACAATAAATAATTAAGAATTAATAATTAATTTTGATTTAATTGAATTAATGTTAAACAATATAAATTATGTGTATGAAGAGGAGAGAAAGAAAATAATAAAAAAAAATGTATAGGGTTTGAGGGTATTAAAGTCATTTCACATCTACAATTAATGGTATTAACGGTTGCACTTTAGTCCAAAACTACATGCAAACTTTCTAGCTATATTTGAACCATAGAAGAGCAAAGTGCTTTGTGCTCAAATTACAAAATGATAAAATGAATTTTGCCCATGAAAAAAAAATCATGTTAATCCAATAACTGAAATCACACGACTTTATTTTTTAATGTTCAAAAAAATGAATGGTCTAGTTTTATATTTATATCTGCCATCTATTTTTTTTAAATAAAAATAATGTGAATACATTTATCAGATCAATATAATTTCTTTATTTATTTAGGAATAATCTACAGACAAAAATGCTAAATATAAACAAAAAAAATCTAAAGTAAATTACCAATAGATCCTATTTTTGGGATAAATTTATCAAGTAATAAATTTATCTGCATTTCTTGTTTTTATGAATAAATTTATAGTGATAAATTTATCAATAAGAACCTGTAGGTAAATAATTTTAGTTAATAAGACTGATTGGTAAGTGTTCCTAACGGCCCCATTAGACTGCTCAATTTAATGTGGACCGGAGAAAACCAAGTAATTTATAAATGTAGTTTTTTTTATATTTTACTTGATAATTTTTGTGAATATAAAGGAACGTTACATGATTAACGGCCACCAAAAATGTTTTAGACCACTAATTAGTAGTGGTTCTAATGATGTGGTAGTAGGTCCCACTCACTGTCACATGTGTTTTGTGCCTTGTTTTTTTTCTTTTTTTTTTTCAATTGCCACCTTGCTAGTGGTGGGATTAGTGATGACAAATTAGTGGTCTAGAGCACAATTATCATTTCCGTAAAATAAAATAAAAAACTCTTGAATTATTATTATTATTTTTAGTTAGAAACTCTAGAATTATTATTACTTTTTAAAATTGAAAGTCAATTGGTTAGTCAATTAAGAATAATAATTCATCGTTTTAATTTAACAATATGGAATTAGGGAAGCTAAAGATGAAAGGGAGAAGAGTGTAAGATGGTTTCACATAGGGGTGAACCATGTCATTAGAGGTAAAATTGGGAGGCAAAATTAGAGAGATGTAGCACCACTGTCCAATAAAGAACAAGTCAATTATTCATGTGAGACGGAAGGAGTTATTTGGCGGTCCACGGTCAAGTATATTGTAATGAGCAATGATACATCCATTTAATTTTGGAGCTCTAATTGAGCTCTAATGATGTGACAGACAATAAAAAAAAAATACTATATCAAAATATCACATTACAATAGGGCCCACTCCTATTAGAGCTCATTAGAGCTCCTTTATTAGAGTTCTAAATCATTTTTGATATTGTAATTGGTGGAGATAATAAGATTTATAATTTAATGTTAGATGATTAGAGAATATGATAGTTCGTAATTGATCAAATGTATGTGAGGTTGTTGCAATTTGAACCACATATTTGACAAAATAATTGAAGAGAGTGACATCTTGACAAATAATAGAGAGTGACATATTTTTGAGTTGTAGGTTTTTGCATGGTAGACAAACCATGTAGATAAACAATGTATAAGGCCTACTCAATAAGAGGTTTTGGTATGGTAGATAAACCATGTAGATAAACAATGCATAAGGTCCACTCGATAAGTGAACCCAACATCAAGTGCAGCATCCTCGTAGGCGAAGGCAATCAGGACATATTCTTCGTCCAGCACCAAATGCAATAAGCTTGAAATCGTGGCCCTGAACATCAACTTGTGAACCAAAAAATCTCTCCGGCATAAACAATTTAGGATTTTCCCATGTACTTGGATCGTGACCGGTAGCCCGTGCATTCACAAGCACTTGTGCACCCTTAGGCATAAACAATTTGGCATTTTCCCATACACTTGGATTGTGACCGGTAGCCCACGCATTACAAGCACTTGTGCACCCTTTGGAAGCAACAAAGGGTGTAACCTAAAGGTTTCTTTGACAATGGCTTATAAATATGGTAGTCGAGGGATGTCTCATTCTTCAATTTGTTTTCCTTTGTTGATGTTTGCTCAAGCTTTGACTAATGTCTTTGAATTCTGTAGTATCTCTGTCATTACCCATTCCATTGTGCTTGAAGTTATCTTTGCCTGTGCAACAAATAGGTCTTACAATATAATCATTAAGTTAGTAGGTGTTTGGCATGCACCAAAAAAGTACATTTTTTTTTTCACAAACATACTTATTTGGGTCATATCAATCAGCATCTCCTCTTTATTTTTCTACCAACTTTTCTCAATTTTCTACACATTTTTTTTTTTATAAAAAGTAAAAAAATGCACTTATTTAGAACATCTCAAACCACCCCTTAGATAACAGACTAATAAAATAATATTATATAAATAGAAGAACTATCAAGAATGTTCACCCAGATGACCTATAAAACATGTTGTATCCATTCACAATTGTATCCTTAGAGCATCTCCAACGCTTCATCAAATCTGTCATTAAATTCAAATTTGATGAAAAATGCCTAAAACATGAGCTCCAACATTTCATCAAATTGATATAAAATAGAGGGAAAGTTACTTTTTTAATCAAATCAAGGGAGCTTTATCCTTTCATCAAATTTGCAGGTGATCGTTGGATCAAATGTCCACCTGGACAATCTCTTCCTTGCGAAATTGCCCAAAAAGGTGTTGGTCAATTTGCACAAACCGGTCGATCGATCGGACATCCGTTCAATTGTCCTCCCGATTGACCGATACTTAAATGAAAAATGCAAATTATTCGTTGCAACGCTCGATATCAGATTAAATTTTTACTCAAATTTAATAGAAAAAAAGAGTAAACGTTAGAGATGCTCTTAAGCTCCAAACCTTGACCACTAAACTAACCTATTTAGGATTTAACATATGACTTATGCACCAAATGACTTATTTATTGTACATTCAATTGGGGTTGGGGGAAGGTTGGCATTGTTAGAAAATATTATAGTTATTATTATTATTTTTTTTAATTTTCAAAAGAATCTAATCTTGATGTATTTAAAATTTCTAAAAAAATTATTAAAATATATTTTTAAAAAAAGTAAAGAAAAACCAAATTTTTTCTAAAAATAGTTTTTGAAAAATCAAATCAAATAGTTCTTGAAAAATCAAGCCAAACAATTTGGTGCAAAAAATATTGCTTAGCATTTTAGTGGCGTTTAATGAAAAAGGCTGCATATCGAAAGATGATGGGTGTGTTTGGTTTGTGTTTGTAGAGTAGTTTTTAAGATAAAAAGTACGAAAACTTATTTGGTTTGCCTTTTTTTCAGAAATGGTTTTGAAAAATTGTTTTGGGGAGTGAGTTTTAAAAAAAGTGATTGATTTGATGTGTATGAGAGAGAGAGAGTGATTTTGGAAAGTAGGTAACCAAACAAAATTTTGAGATTTTTTTTGAAAAAATTTGTTTGGTTTAATTACTCTTGAAAATTTGTTTGTAGAGAATTTTTCTCAAAAATTTTTCTGAAAAACAAACCAAACAATGTCATTCTATAACTCGGCATTTTGGAAACGATATTTTGAAAAAAGTTAACTTGTTGACTTTTTTTGAAAAACTGTGTAAAAAATGTGAAAGATGATGTGACCGATGATGTGACCCAAAATTAATTAAAAATTGGGAAATAGCTTTTAACCCACTTCTCCAAAAGGCCATTTGCTTGAGACTTGGTGGGCAAACCGCTTGACGAAATTGTCATCAAAAGGTTTTTGTTGCATTTTATGAACATATGGCGGCGTTTTAGAAACACCATTAAATTTTAAAATAGAGTGAGACAAGGTTAATTTGGTCATAATAATGGTAGATGACTTTTTTCCTTTTTCTTTTTTTCAATTCTCAAGATAGAAAATGAATTTGCTAACACATTTTTTTAATATGGGAACAATACACAAAATATAATAGATCTAAATATGTGGACCTCGTACTCAAAAAGTTTAATGACTCCATTTGAAAGTCCAACTATTCTCAACCAATCAAAATATATGTATTGTTTACCCACTTTTTGAGACTTGGAGGCAAAATTAGAGAGATGTAGCACCACTATCCAATAAAGTACAAGTCAATTATTCCTATGAGATGGAAGGAGTTATTTGGTGGTCCACAATCAAGTATATTGTAATGAGTAATGATACATCCCTCTAATTTTGGAGCTCTAATGATGTGGCAGGCAATAAAAAAAAAAAATACAAGACCAAAACATTACATCACAATAGGGCTCACTCCTATTAGATCTCATTAGAGCTCCTTTACTAGAGTTCCAAATCATTTTTGTAAAGATGAATATTGACTATGTAATTAATCACCAAATCATATAAAAATTTGTAGAAAAAAGTTGCGTGAGTGACTTTATTAGGTTTTTTAAAATAATTTTACTAATTTATTGATAACAAGGAGAGATGAGAAAAAGACTTAGATCTTATGTAACTTAGCGAGACCATATATGACAAGTCTCTCACACTTCTTCACACATGTAATTTGGTCAAATGTGGACGTGATAGAGAGATAAATAAAATAAATTGAGAATGGAGATTTGACATTATACAATAAATACCAACTCTAATATTATGTTAGAATTTTAGAGATATCAACCCAAAATCTAACTATAAATGAAGAGACTCTTATATTATATTAATCAAATTTAGTTGTCTTAGAGAAATAATATGAGACATGTCTCTAACAACAACCACAATTAGGTTATGCAAATAATGCCAAAAATGTTTAGTTTGTCTTTGGTCTTACCTTCAGCAAACACCTTGATTAACAACACTAAGTCATGCTTGCCCTCTAGTTGTCTCAATTTTTGTTAATGAATTAGTGAAAAGCATGGACATATATAAGATTTGCTCTCAAACATTTAAAACATACTCAAAAAGTGAAATTGAAAAATACCAGATCAGTTATTTTATGTGACAAGAGAGTGTAGAAAGAGAGAAGGCTATAATCATAAGTCATAATGAAAATTTTGTACCTGTGGGGAAGTATTTTGTGAAAGACAACACGTGACTAAGGTGATGCCGAAGTGTCAGTGGAGGTGCCACGTGGCTTGGTCACGCTGCCGAGGTAATCTTGGTTGGGCCGAGGTTATCTGTGGAGATGTTGAAATCCGAGATAAGCAGATAAGGGACAAGAGTCATAGAATAGGGGAGGACCTCAGTCTGGATAGAGATAAGGCTCAAGAAGAGTTTATCTTTATCTAGATGAAGGTCTAGGATGAGCATGGAGCCTAAGTCCGTTAAAGTGAGGCTTCTAGGGGGATCAGGTCACTGATCAATATCCTTTGTGGGTCTGAGGTAACTTCTAACTTGTGAGTTTAAGCACTATTTGGTATCTTTGAGAGATATTGATTACTGACTTGATCGTTGAAGTGCTCCCAGGTAGACGAACCACTGCCCGATTTTCATCTTATTGTGCAGGTTGTTGGGCTTAGTCTACTCTGCCGATGCTCTCCAGCTGAGTTCTCCTTTTGGTTGTGTGGTTAAAAATCACCACCCAAAATTTGGTGCCGTCTGTGAAAAACTTAAAGAGAATAGGTGGCCAACGATGGACTGGAAGAAAATATTGGGGATGACATTAATAGTGAGAGTTATGAATATAGATATCCTAATGTCGGGAAAGAAAACCGTAATGAGGAAGCACAAGATCCGAATCGTAGGGAGAAGAATGTATGCAAAGAGGGAAACGCCCGAAGAAAGTTAGCTGAGATAAGTACTACAACGAAAGCGACCCCCAGGTATGGAAGAATAGATGCTTGAGGAGGGACAGTGAGATGAAAGAGATGGCGAACAAGTTGGCAGACATACAGTCAGTTGTCAACATCATGATACAGAACAACGTGATGTAACCACCGTTCCTGTTGCAGGACACGCCGGTACCAGTTGCAAAGATTGATGCCTAGAAAGGGGCACAGAAAACAATCCCAGCAGTCTCGCAGCATGGCAAGGAAAATAAGCGCTTGCATCGGCCTTCACGGGATGTCGGGCGAGTAGAGTCGCAGAGAACACCATGAACCAAGGGGACCTACGTCAAAGAACCACGGCATATCCAGGGGAAGGGACTTTGCTTTAATACAGTGAATGAAGAGAAGTCCAAGAGAACGCACAATGATGCTGGGAGCAGCGTGTCGAAAAGGCTGAAATCTGTTGATAGCCGAGCTCCTAGAGGAAGCGACTCCATGCCGAGGTAACATCTCCCGTTAAGTCGAGAATGTTGCTCTCAGTGGAGTTGGATAGATTTGAGGCCCTAGAGAGATTCCATATGCCGAGGTTCTAGATTTATGGCGGTAAGTTTGATCTGAACTTTCATGTCGGCTTATATTTAAATTTAATGGCTTTGTATAGCGGGAATGAGTAGTTGCTGTGCAAGATGTTCCCCTCATCCTTTGGAAAAATCGCATCGAATTGGTTCCACAAGTTGCCAAAAAGAACTATGAAGATTTGGGAAGACCTGGTCAAGATGTTTGTAGCTAGGTCTGTAACAAATAAGTTGTTACCACTAAGGGCAGACTCCCTGTTGGCGTTGAACATTAGCGGGGTAAAAGCCTCAGGGCTTACGCCAAACGGTATTATGAGGTGTTCAATCCAATATCGAGATGTAACCAGCAGCTGGCGGTCGTATCTTTCAAAAACGGCCTAATAGATGAATGCTCGCTTTGAAAATCGTTGGCAAAAACTTTACCAAAGAGTATGGAGGAGCTCATGGCACAAATTGAGAAATATGCCAGGCAGAGGAAGACACATATGGAGCAAAGGCACCAAAGCAGGAGAAGAGAAACGACTTGCCAAAGCGAGGCCGAGGTAACACTGGTTTCAACAGGCAGGAAATAGGGTTGAGGGCTACACAGACAGTCACCACTGTATTCAGAATCCCGGTCTACAAAGTTCTGGAAATGATCAGGAACCAACTGTATTATAAAGCACCGAAGAAGATCCCTGGTGAGTTTATAGGAAGGAGCCTTAGGAAGCATTGTGCTTACCATAATGAGGATGGGCATTTGACTCAAAGATGTAGGGCTCTAAAGACGCACCTAGAGGATTTGGTCAGACATGGTCACCTGAGGGACCTAGTAGAGGAGGCCAGAACAAGGAAAGAGCAAGCAAGGCTATCCTAGGCATCAATAGCACCACCTCCACCACCACCACCACCACAACAAGCAGATGGACCTCCGGTGATCAATGTGATTCACTCGAAGGTCAATGAGAATGATGTACGTGGGGAAACTCAGAGAGTAAGGCACCTACAACATGTTTACCAGGTTCAGCGAAAAAAGCCTTGGACAAATGAGTACTAGGGGCCAATGGTTTCTTTTACTGAGGCAGACCTAGATATGGTGCGACATCCACACAACGATGCCATGGTAATAACGCTAAAGATTGGAGAGTGCCAGGTAAGGCGCGTACTGGTTGATCAAGGCAGTTCTTGTGACATCATGTATGTTAGATGTGACAAGGAGCTTGGCCTTTATCCAGATGATCTGGAACAATCCAATAGTCCGATGGTTGGATTCAACGGAACACCAACGTGGCCTCTAGGTGCCACGAATTTGGATGTGCAAGCAGGCACCAAGAAAGTAAGCACAGAGTTTACAATAATTGATAACCCCCCTTACAATGTTATCATGGACAGACCATGGTTGCATGCCATGAGGGCCGTTCCCTCAACATTGCACCAGCTGTTGTGATTCCCAACTGAATATGGGATTGAAGAGGTCAGAGAGGATCAAGTGTAGGCAAAAAATTGCTCCATGGAAGCAATGAAGTCCACCTGCAATGTGCGAGAAGAAGAGACATTTGAAATTGAAAATGAGGACATGGAGGTCCTAGATGATGTCGGCAAAGAACCAGTCGACAAGAGTGAGGAGGCTTTGAAGAAGATTTTAGTCCAGGAAGATGATAGAGAGGGCTTCTTCCTTCTCGGCTCAGGCTTAACCGATGAGGAAAAGGAGTTAGAAGCTTTCTTACGAGCAAACATAAAAGTGTTTGCCTGGAAGCCGTATGAGATGTCAGGCATCGACCCCAAGGTCACTTGCCATGGGCTCAATGTTGACAGGTTGGCAAAACCACTCATCCAATGGGCAAGAAGGCCGACATTGGTTCATGTGGAAGCAGTAGAGGAGAAAGTGGACAAGCTGTTGGAAGCCAAGGCCATTCGAGAGGTGAACTACCCAACCTGGCTGTCTAACACAGTAGTTGTGAAAAAGAAGAACGGCAAGTGGATTTCGCTAGCCTGAATAAGGCTTGTCCCAAGGACAGTTTTCTACTGTCCAAAATTGATCAATTAGTAGATGCCACTTCAGGGCATGGAAGGATGAGTTTCCTGGATGCATGCAAAGGCTACCACCAGATAGCAATATAAGCTCTAGATGAAGAGAAGACGACATTCATCATCCTGAAAGGACTCTATTGTTACAAAGTGATGCCTTTCGGGTTGAAGAATACAGGAGCAACCTACTATAGGTTAGTAATCAAGGTGTTCAAGCACCTGATTGGTAAGACTGCAGAGGTCTACATCGATAACATGGTTATGAAGACCAAAGAACCTAGAAACCATCTGGCCGGCTTAAAGGCAGTATTTGACATCTTAAGAACATATCGGCTTCGACTTAATGTTTTGAAATGTGCATTTGGAGTCGGGTCTAGTAAGTTCCTAGGATACTTGGTCACCAAAAGGGGGATTGAGGCAAGCCTAGATCAAATCAAGGCCATCCTCGACTTAAAGAGCCCGACATCAGCCAAGCAAGACCAAGTTTTGACCGGCAAGGTAGTAGCCTTGAATAGATTTATCAGTCGAAGTTCTGATAAATGTAAGCCATTTTTTCAATTGTTAAAGAAGGCTACAGATTTTTTGTGGACAAAAGAGTGAGAAATCACCTTGGCCAACTTGAAAAGTTATCTGACAACATCTCTAGTTTTGTCAACTCCAATACCTGGGGAAGAATTATTCATGTACTTGGCGGTATCTGACCACGCTGTTAGTGCAGTGGTAATCCGAGAAGAGGGGGGAGAGCAAAAGGCAGTATTCTATGTGAGTAAGACCCTAGTAAGTGTAGAAACTAGGTACCTGCCCTTGGAAAAGTTAATATTAGCCTTGGTGATGGCTTCCAAAAAGTTGAATCACTATTTTCAAGCCCACAAGATTGTGGTGCTGACTGAGCATCCCCCTAAAGTCTCTGTTACAGCATGGAGATCTGACAGGTAGAGTGGCCAGATGGGCAGTAGTGTTGGGCCAGTATGACTTGGAATTTAGGCTTAGAATAGCGATTAAGGGCTAGGTTCTGGTCGACTTTATGGCCGAATTCACCCCTGGTGCCATCCCACGTCAGGCTCTGATGAGCCGCGACTTAGGTTGTCTAGAAGAACCAGAGAAAACCCAACTAGGGCTAAAGAACCCCACACTAGCAACACAGAAAAAGGAAGAGAACGCAAAACCCTGCGACATCTACATCGGCAACTCCTTCTGCTTGTTTGCTGATGGAAGTTCAAACCATCAAGGAATGGGGACAAGAGTGGTTCTGGTATCACTAAAGGGGAGAATGATAGAGCAATCGATTCGTTTGAGGTTTAAGGCTTCAAAGAACGAAACAGAGTATGAGGTACTGGTTGCAGGACTAAAACTAGCAGCATCCATGGAAGCCGATGAGGTGGTAATCTTCTGTGACTCCAAGCTTATTGTTAATCAAGCAATGAGCGAGTATGCAACCTGAGATTGTTCCAAGATTGTAGGTTACAGCAAGTTAGCCAAGATGACAACAGTCATGCTGATGCCTTGGCTAACCTAGCTAGCCCAATAAAGTCAGGGGAACCGAGGACAACCATGGTTGATTACTTAACAGGACCAAGTATGGAGCCTCTGATAACAGAATATGAAGCAATGGCATAGAAATAGGTCTAAGCTGTATGGATACAATAGTAGTGTTCCTCAGGGATGGCAAGTTGCCAGACGACCGAAAAGAGGTGCACAAGACCAGGTTGAAGTCAGCTCGGTTCTGCCTATCAGCAGAAGGCCATCTGTACAAAAGATCTTTCGTTGGACCTCTACTCCTGTGTGTGCATCCCTATCAGGTAAAGGACTTTTGTATGAGATCTATGAGAGAGTTTGTGGAAGTCATGTAGGGGGCAGGTCACTTGCCCATAGAGCCATATCCCGGGGATATTGGTGGCCATACATGCAAAAGGATGCTAAAGCCTATGTCAAAAAGTGTGAGAAGTGTCAAAGGTTTACACCTTCGATACATCAGCCAGCAACAGATCTGAACCCAGTGTCCAATCTTTAGCCGTTTGCCTAGTGGGGCATGGACCTGGTGGGACCACTGCCCCAGGCAACTGGATAGAGAAAATTCTTGCTAATAGCCACAGACTACTCTACAAAGTGGGTTGAGGCTGAACCTCTTGCGAAGATTCGAGATATTGATGTGAAGAACTTCATCCAGAAGAACATAATTACCAGGTTCGAGATCCCAAGGGCCATTATAGCAGATAATGGCACCCCAGTTTGACAGTAAGCTAATCAAGAGCTTTTGTGCAAAGTAAAAAATCAAAAACTATTACTTTACTCCTAGTTTCCCCCAGAGTAATGGTCAGACAGAAGCATCCAACAAGACCATCCTTGATGGGATCAAAAAGAGGCTAGATGTAGCCAAGGAAAAATGGGTGGAAAAATTAACCAATGTACTATGGGCATACTGGACTAAGCCGAGAAGATCAACTAGGGAGTCTCCTTTTGCCATGACTTCTGGCACTAAAGTAAAGTTATCCCATTGGAGGTTGGCATCCCTGGAATTAGAACCTAGGGAGTGGAGAATGGGACCAATAAGGCATTCTTGGCTCAAGATCTGGACCTCTTAGAAGAAAGAAGAGAGAGAGAGAAACAATTCGACTAGAGGCATACCAGCGGCAGCTTGCTAGGGCTTACAACAAAAACGTTAACCTAAGGGAGTTCGAGGTTGGGGACCTCGTCCTTAGAAAAGTCATCGATAATAAGAAAGATACAAGGGAGGGAAAACTTGGCCCAAACTGGGAAAGGCCTTACAGAATCATCTCGGTTGTCGGCAATTGAGCATATCGGTTGGAGGATAATGATGGCAAGGAGTTGCCAAGACCGTGAAACACTTGCAATTTGAAGTTTTTTTTATCATAGTTTTTGTCCTCAAATCTTTTATTTTCTTGTCATAATGTACTCAACTATTAGATCAGATGAGAATATCAAAATATATGTGCACTGACGTGAAGATACAAAAGATTTGGGAACAGAACATCCTCGTCTCATTTTATTATATATTCTATTTAATGCATAAATTTGAAAACTTATATTGAAGTATTGACTTTTAGAATTAAAATTGAAGTAGACTCTAAACTTCAACTCAAAAAGACATGATTTATCATTGAGTATCATCGTGCTTGGTAAAAAGCAAAATTTCAACAATCCTTAATTTTCAGTGCTATATGTCTAATGCACATGTTTCAGTTCCATCCAGCAATCACTTAGTCAGATTTTTGCAAAAATAGAGCCACTTTGGAAATTCATCAATGTAATAAAAAAGGGATTTTGGCACTCACAATTAGCGAAATATTGCTGTTGCAGACAAGCACCATTCACACTACTCAAATAGCCAGCAAAACTCTTCCATATGGGAAGAACCAGATGACGAGGCACAGCAAGTCCAGCTTCAATATAGTTGTAGATTAGAGCTTGTTGCTCTAACTCTTGCAACTGGAGGAAGGTAAAACCAGATGATTTTGAGCAGCCATGTCGGTTACTTGACCGATGATGACCAAGCTCGAGGCCGAGCCCGAGTCCAGTTGGGGGTGACACTTCTCTACAACTTGTCCGGCTAGTGGCTAAACAGTTTGTAAGAATGGCCAATATGTGATTAATGGGAACTACGCAATGAACAATTCAAGACTGTGTATGAGGGCACGAGATTTTCTGTCTCTAAATATATATATTCTTTGTTACCAATGCACTCTCAATTATTAGATTATGTCCTGAAGTTTATTTGTTTCTAAATTTCATATAATAATTGGGAGTGCATTCGAGCATAGTGACAGAAAATTTGAGAATAGAAGATTCTTGAGAGAGAGAGAGAGAGAGAGAGAGAGAGTACCATTGTCTGCAAGGCGAGCAATCTTGGGAGGTGGGTTTTGTGGTTCCATCTTCTTGCTTGCACAAGGGTTGTCAAAGCAGAAAAAAGGAAAAGAGCCAGTAGGTTATAACTCTCTGCATATTTGGGCTAAATGGCCTATGGATTGCCCCGGAATTGTAGTGCTTTAAAACACAAGAATTGTTTTTAGTATTTTACATTACATTACAAATAAGACACCACAAAGAACATGGAGAGAGAGAGAGTCTTCTGACATCTGCAGCTGCATATTTATGAGGATGGGTCCTCTGTCACGGACCAAACAATAATGTCATCACTTGACGTTGGACTCATTGTCTATTTGTGTCTCTTATTACAGTCCAAATTGAAGTCTGATCATAGGCATGCTCTGTTATGTTTTCATACAGAACAAATACGTAAATTGTTTGAATCTAACTTTGTTGGTTTCTACTTTAGATGCCAAATCAAAAACTCATGCGATTATAGTCCAAAGCATAGTGTGTAGAACTGAAAAACAATATCGATGAACCAAAAAAAAAAAAAGGGAGGGGCAAGTTGCACAAAAAAAAAAAATCCTTGAGTTTAGCGTGTTTTCCAATTTAAACCCCAGAGTTTTAATTTTAACAATAAAAATTTTGATGTTATTTCTGTGTCACAATTAACGCCTCCTATCCATCTCCGTGTGATCTCCGTCTCTGACATCAGCCTTGTGTCACGCTGACATCATCCATGCCTAAGCCTTTGCCCCAAAAAAATAATCTCAAATTGTCATGTGAATAATTAAACCTTGGACCAACCATCTTAACCACTCTGCCACATCTATTCTTGTGATAAATGGTTCTCAAACAAATTATTTAAACCATTTTAACTTAGCCCAAAACCAACATTCCAAACATAGCCTAACCTTTTCTCCGTTTGCCGGGTTGAACTTTCCGCGACTTTCCAACAAAACTTGAAGTTGCGTGTGGAGGCGCGTGGAACCTCCTCTTTTTGGATTGATTTTTCTTGGTCTAGATTTCTCTCGTCAAGACGTACCTCATGATATGCTCATAACTTTTTACAATATTATAGTTAATTTTATTTTTATTTTTTATCATTATATTTATTTATTTTATTTTGTTTACTTTTTACATATGTAACGTAAATGTAATTTCTAAATAAATCTAATATAATCTATGGCAGAGTTTCACACGTATATATTAGTTCGTAAAAATATTTTTAAAATTTTAAAACTACTTTACTAATTTATATCCGTTCAATACATTTAAAATGTTTTATATTTAACTAATTGAGTTTTTTATTTCTTCACATTTTGTTTACTGTTTATACGTATATTTTTTTTGATCGCCCATATATATTAATTATAACAAATTAATTTGGCTAGCATAAAATTTTACATTGGTCTATCGAATTTAAATTTAGCTAATTTTACCCACTAAATAGAATATTAATTTTTAATTTATTCGTTGGAAAGTCATTGAAAAGTTTAGTTCGGCAGGCGGGAAAGGTTGAAAGAAGACCAAATTAAAATGCTTTAAATATATTGTTTGAGAATTATTTACCATAAGAATTGGTATGGTAGAGTGTTTAAGGTACTTGTTAAGCACTTGGTCCAAATTCAAAATTTCCAAAGCAGCAATTTTAGATTTTTTTGGGTAGAGGCTGACTTCAGCAGACGAAGGGCCGAAATTTCAGGAATTATTTTATTATTTATAATTTGTCCAAAAAAAAAAAAAAAAAAAAAACTAGGACTCAAAAGTAACCCACATGTTTGAATCTAACAAATACATGATTATTTGGAATCTAACTTTGTTTCCTTCTACCAAAATAGGAAAAATGGTTTCTAAACTATGAAAAGTAACTAAGAGCTAAATAGTTGTGCTTGGATTTATTTCTAAAAGCCCGGTTGGTCCGTCATTTAAAATTGAGCCTATCTCCGTAGGACTATGTTGTTGGTGAATGTTTCATCAGCAAACAGAACTTACATCCATCCCCTTCTGTACAACATTGATTTGACTCGGATGTGGTCTGACACTGTGAGCCACATTAAAGATGAATATGCCTATTGAGAGGGTATTTTTGGGAAAAATTGGGCCGAGCTGCGAGTTGGCTTTATGGCCCAAAGTGCGAAGGACTAAGTAAAAGGCCGTAATGATTACTCTGGCCCAATAAAATGCAAAAGGTTACTCCGGCCCAGAGAGGCAAGGTTACTCCGGCCTAGGAGAAACAAAGTTACTCCGGCCAGGGGGTAAAATTCTTCGGCTCAGGAATTATAAGATACTTTCGGTCTGGGAACGATTTAGAGTTATGCCGGTCTTGGAGTTATATTGGCCGAAAGTCATTGGTTCTCGGTCTAAGACCGTACCATTGGTTGTACATGGGAAAACAAGATAAGGTAGAGTTTAAAAGTGGAACCGAACTAAGAATAGTTCGGTTACTCAGTGGCTCTGCATAGCCAAGCTTATTTCGGTCGGCCAAAGTAAAAAACCATCCCACTTGGTTTAAGCAGTGGGGAGGGTGTAAAAGGATAAACATTATCCTTAGGAGTATGAATCCTAAGAGGACACTGCATGGAGGAATAAAAGTCCTACTAGAATTGTGCCACAGGAAACTTATAAAGCCTAACAAATTACACCTTGGAGGAGTAACAGAACACAATTTTTCTGAGAACATAGAGCTTTTGTCTATTTGTCAAGTTACTGACTTAGGCATCGGAGAGGTTCCGGCAAACACCCGCCGGCAGCTCACGTTTGTGTTTTCAGGCTGCACAAGCAACGTTGTACGGAGGAGCGTGGACTTGCAACAGGATTATATGAGAAGGCGTATTTCTTTCCCGTACAAATTGGCGCCGTCTGTCGGGAAGAACAGACAAGAACAAAACCTCTTGACTAAGCTTCTCTTTTCTCAAATCAATGGCACACATTGAATCTAAAAAATACATGATTATTGGAATCTAAACTTTGTCCTTCTTACCAAAATAGGAAAAATGGTTTCCTAAACTATGAAAAGTAACTAAGAGCATAATAGTTGTGCTTGGATTTATTTCTAAAAGCCCGGTTGGTCCGTCATTTAAAATTGAGCCTATCTCCGTAGGACTATGTTGTTGGTGAATGTTCATCAGCAAACAGAACTTACATCCATCCCCTTCTGTACAACATTGATTTGACTCGGATGTGGTCTGACACTGTGAGCACATTAAAGATGAATATTGCCTATATATTAATCTACACAAAATCATGTAAAAAATTCTGTAGAAAAAAAAAGTTGCCGTGAGTGATTTTGTTAGTTTTTCAAAAGTAATTTACTAATTTATTGATAAACAAGGAGAGACGAGAAAAAGGCTTAGACCTTCTGTAACTTAATGAGACCTTATGGGACAAGTCTCTACACTTCTTCATACATGACGTTTGGTGTGAAGGTGACAAAGAGATAAATGAAATAAATTAAAAATAGAGATTCGACCTTATACAACAAATATTAACTCTGATATCATGTTAGAATTTAAGAGATATCAACCCAAAATCTAACTATAAATGGAGAGACATCTTATATTATATTAATCAAATTTAGTTGTCTTAGAGAAATAATGAGACATGTCTCTAGCAAAATACCACAGTTTGGTTATGCAAATAATGCCAAAAATGTTTAGTTCGCCTTTGGTCTTACCTTCAGCAAACACCTTGATTAACAACACTAGGTAATGCATGCCCTCTAGTTGTCTAAATTTTTGTTGGTGAATTAGTGAAAAGCATGGACTTATATAAGATTTGCTCTCAAACATTTAAAACATACTCAAAAAGTGAAATTGCAAAAATACTCTTAATGTGGGGGACAGATCAAGTTGTTGCATGTGACAAGAGTGTAGAAAGAGAGAAGGCTATAATCATAAATCGTAATGAAAATTTTGTACCTACTTGTCTTTTTGACCCCAACACCTCAATGAACAACATATAATGGTCCCACACTTCTTCAAAGGCATCCCCACCCCACCAATTGCCAAATCCAGCTATGTACCTTTGTGTATCTGTGATTTTTGTTCACACTATATTGGTGCTAAAACTGGATTTGGATATCTCTGCACCATGTGCGAATTAGATAGGGTTGCGGTGAAATAAGTTTGGGGAATTATAAATCAATTTAGAAGATTAAAAGTAATTACTGAGATGTGGGGTCCAACTCTCTTTGTGAATTTTTTGCACAAGTAGAGTTGCATCTTTTATGTTTGTGTAATTATTTTCAAGAAAAAATGTATTAGACTCAAACAAAATATTTAACAATTTGATCCATAATATGGCATGATATGTGTCAATTTTTATTTGTCATATATTCAATTGTGTAGAGCCTACCACACTTGTCATATCATTGTGAATAAATTTAGGAATTCAAATTGTGAGTCTCTAGCTTTACTGTATTTTTAGTCATTTGGCTAAATTGTAATTCTCCCAATAAGTTTATAAATGGAATGAGCTTCTACGTTGGATCTTATGAGGCCCATTTGACAATTTTAATAATTTATGGGCAAATTACCCACAAGTTCTTTTTGGAGAGTGTGTATTTTATTTAATTCCAAAACTTTTTAGAAAGTCCTATATCCATTTATCTTCTTCTCTCTTCTCTACACCTTACTTCTTCTCTTTATCTCCTCTTTCTCTGATATCAGTGATGGCGACGATGACCATGGCCATGCCCACGCTTTCATTCTTTTCTTTTTCTTTCTAATCTACCGTTATCGGTGACCGGCGACCACTATTGATTGGGGTTCATGAGTAACCACCCAGTACCAACTCCTTACTTGTGCTCGCCGACGGCGAAAAGAGATGAGTTTCGAGAAAGAAGGTGAGGAGATCTACTCAAATCTGATGTAGATCTACTCAAATCTGATGTAGATCTACTCAAATCTATATTCAAATCTGAGTAGATCTAGATTCAGTTAGATCTAAACTAAAAATAGTTGTAGGAGTACAAGTATTTCTCTATATTTGTCTCTTTCCTTCGATCTCTCAGTTTTAATACTTTGTCTGTATTACACATTTCTATTTTTTTGTTATAATGGAGAAAATTTTCAAATTCTGAACAAATTGTTTTCGAGTTTTATTTATAAGAGGCAAAACTGTAAAATTTTACAGTTTCAGTTTTTTTTTTTTTTTTTTGGTGTTGAAATGAATCATTGTTTAAAATTGTAAAATTTTACAGTTTCATAACTTTCTTTAAGACTGTAAATTTTACAATTCATAACATGTTTTCAGTTTATTAATAAGAATAAATACTTAATAGAATTATACTTTGAAATTGTAACATTTTACAGTTTCAAAACTTGCTTTTCAGTTTGATCAATATTGAAAACTATTTGCTTAAACTCTACAA